GTTTCCTCCCCTGTCCTGGCTACCAACCACATGCACAGATGTGACACAGCAGCTCTGCATCTGACACAGGTGCTGGTCTTCCCTGGCACGCTCATTTTCAAACCTCTCATCAACAGAGACTGTACACAAAATATGCAACATACTACTTTTGGACTGGAAACAGGTAAATTCAAAAAAGCCTGGGAAAGGTTCTGAAAGCAACTGGGGAGTACTGCCAGAGAAGTGTTATCACAGAAATAGCACCAATCTGACTGACTGACAGTGGTGTTCTGTGTCTGGACCTAGACGGTGTTTTACGTATTAGTAAGTCAGGGAACATAAAACCCAACCAAGCAAGAAAACAAAACAAAACAAAAACCCCAACCCAAAAAACCTTTTATGACCTTCACCCACTGATGGTGGCCATGGGGACACACTGATGGCGGTCCCACTAACGGCAAGGTGGCTGACAGAGCCCAATTAGGACACGCAAGAGCTTTCGCATACTCGGTGAGATCTTCATCCCCACATATGTGTGTCATCCCCCTTCCCTGCCAGAACTTCAAGTGTGAAGGAGCAGAACTTTCTGGGCTCCAAGGAGACCTCAGAGCAACTTTAAGTGCCTAAAGGGGAAAAGAAGAAAGCTGGATACAGGCTTTTGACAAGGCCCTGTAGTGAAAGGACAAGGAAGAATGGCTTTAACCTGACAGAGGGGAGATTTAGATTAGATATTAGGAAGAAGTTCTTCCCTGTGAGGATGGTGAGGCACTGGCCAAGTTTGCCCGGAGAAGCTGTGTCTGCCCCATCCCCGTCAGCATTCAAGGGCAGGTTGGACAGGGCTTGGAGTAACCTGGCCTAGTGGAAGGTGTTGGAACTACATGATTTTTAAGGTTCCTTCCAACCCAAACAATTTGGTGATTCTGATTCATTTTATTCTCTCCATGCATTGTGCTTGCAAACTGTTAACACATTAACTATCCCAGGTTTTTGCTTCAAAACATCCATTAAACCAGGTCCTATCCCATTTAAACATCAAAAATATTCCATAAACCAGGACCTACAATTGTCTACCCAAACCCTGTTTTCCTAATGTTTTTTAACTCTATTATCTATTTCATTGTGAATTCGGCAGCTGTCTTCTGTGAAAGAACAGTGGCATTTGCTACACCACAGATTTCACAGCACATCTGCCATGGTGCTGTAAATGCATGCAGAGGAGTCTGAGGAAATACAGCAGTGTATATCAAGTAAAAGTTCTATCTAACTGATCACGTCCTCAGGGACAGCATGCAGTGTCACAAGACATATCACTCTACACTTGAATGAGGTTGTCAGCCACTGAGAGGTCTGCAAACTGATGGCAGCAATATGCAGTATATGGAGTCTTCTAAAGTAGACACAGTAGCTCTGTAAAGTATGTCTTCCTATGGATGAAGAAAAAGAAAAAACAAAACAGAACAATAAAAGAAATGAGGTATGAAAGGGTATTTGTTAATCTATCTTTCTGTATTGTATTGCTGTGAATGAAACCAAACTCATTTGAAGTATGTCACATGGATATGGACAAGGTTACTTTGCAGGTTTCTGAAATTGCATATACACATGTACAGACCAAAACAATGTGGAATTTATTACAATACCATGTGTCCAAATAAATGCAATATTTACAGAGAAAGAAACCTAGAAAGTTTCTGGCATTTTATAGAGAAGTCTTATAAATTCAGAAATCACCCTAACAGCTAATTATGCATATATTTTTTTTACATATATGTGGACTCAAGTAGAGCTCCTAACAAATATGACAAAAATTGACGCTAAAAGTGCACATTGCTTGAACTCACTGGAAGAAGTTCAAGAATGAAAGCAAAAGATTCTCTCCTGCCCTTTACTCAAGTCATTGAAGAAAACTGCCCCACTTTAAGAAAGCAGTCACATTAAATCCTCCGATTAGTCTCACCCCAGATTCTTTCATTTATTAGAGCAAATACATTGGGAATGCATTTATTACTACATATTCATGCAGAACAACAATGAGTAAGTATCTTTGTAGAGTGTGTAGTCATACCACAACACTTAAAATTCAGAAGAAAGGTCTTTATACGTAAAAGCTGTTTCTCCTGGAAAAACTGAGCAGCCTAATAAAAGATACTACGTATCTCTGTAAATCCTGTCTTGCTAAACTTTCTCTGTACTTCAGTAACTTTGGTATGTGATCTTATTAACAAACAGATCAAATCCATAGAGTCTATATCCAGGCTTTAATTAGCAAGCAATTTGTGTTCTGTTTGTATTTATTATAACTAATCTCAAATTTTAGTTTTATTTTGCTGATATACATGTCAATTCTATTAGAATGAAGTGTTTCTACCCCATGCCTTTCCACCGACTGACATAAAAACATTTCTTAAGAGCTGAAGTTTCAGTAGGCTTTAAATGTATGGTTGGGCACATGCATCAAATTCTGCTTACGTGTATGTTATATCTGTTTGTGCAAAAATCTTATTTTTGAATTTACTACTAGAGCACCTGATTACATGTTTGTACAAATCATACAAGACTATGAAAAATACCATGTACACTCTACAATACTGTAGAAAGAGACAAAAAAGTAAACAAAACCTTCATAAAGTAGATTTGCTTCAAGAATGTTCCTATGTTAATTCACTATATCATATTTTACAAAGTGCTCTTCATTCAAAGACTGACAAAAAAAGGAAAAAAAAAAAACCTGACCCCAAAATCACAGTCAAGGTAAGTGATAGGGCAGAAATACGGTTAATAAAGTAAGTCATAGAATGAAGGAGATAGCCCAAGTGTGCAAATCCTTTGGCAGAGGGCAAAACTGTGAGGTTAGAGGAATAGCATAAGTAAAAAAGAATTGAGGAGGAACTCGGTAAGAGCAAATCTACTGTGAGTTCTGAGAAGGAAGTTATTTTTAAATTGCAGTGGCTAAGAATCCAATGACGGTGACAGAGGACAAACCACAGCCCAACTTCATGGAGGAGAGCATTTTACTTGTGACATTTGGTACACCTTTAAATTTGGGGGAAAAGGACTGCCAAGAACTATAATTGAGGGAGTTGCTGCTTTACAGTCAGGAAGGATTAAGAGCAGCTCTGAAAGATGTGGAATACTTCTGTTCCCACTGACTACAGCAGAGTTTGAAAGCACCCACAGTACTCATAAACCTTAGGAAAGAAAAATAAGCCAGAAATAAGGATTATTTTTCTGCAGAAAGTGAAAAAGTACAGACAAGAATTACAAGAATACTTCAAGCCATTTTAATGAATAAACCAAGGATTTCTCCCTATGGGAGCAAATTTCACTTTTTGCTCATTTCCATCTATATCATGCAGTGTTTTAATTATGCAGCAGTCTCAACAAATAGATTGTCACAGCATTTTAGAGTAGCTAATTCTATTCAAAATGCCAGCAGAAGATGGGATAATGTCTTTATTGGTTTGGCTTAGTTTAACCCACCCGCTTCTATTTGTAATGACTTGAACAATTCAGGCTATTATATCCACCAAAAAAAGCTAATATTGCAGAAATATTAAGACTTGGATATACCCTGACAATCAAAGTACTACAAAGTACGAACTCAGGATACTCCCAGCTACTCAAAAGCAACTCAAAATAATTTTAGAAGCTTGACCAAAATATTCATATAAATGAATAAATAAATAAAATATAATATTGGATGGATAAAATATTTTAAGATCTGTGATAAGCATATCACCACTGTCTCTCTGAAATGGAAGTGTGTTACTAACCACAGAAAAACACGTAAGATCAGATATATAATACCTGATATAAATACAAATTAAGACAGCACTCAAAAGTCACTGGAAGTAAAGCTCATTACATCTTCCAACCCTAAGTTTTGACTGGAAAGTGGTTACACTAGGGAAAATTTGGCGTGCACTTGATCAGCGTTCTCTTCAATAATAGATATAGCTATTGGCTGTCCCTGTATTGTACTATTCATTTACCCACAACGTTTCCAAAATTATCAGGAAGTTAACCAATACTCATGATTTCTGTTGTCTAGATTTTTCTTTTACTCTATTTCAGTAGCTGGGTAATATGACAATAATGTACGTGGTTATTCAAAGGTAATTGAAAATTAGTGATAAACAGTAAAGGTATTCATAACTGCTCACTGTAGGCCAAAGATGCATCTAGAGACAGGTAATTCTTTTCTAAGAACAATTCTAAAGATAAAGTCATTCCTAATGACTGCAGATGGTCCATAATCTCTCTTTAAAGAGAGAGTTAAAGTTAAGAAAGTTAAGTTAAAGTGCAAGGCTGATTCACTGACTGAGGGTAATACACCGAGCTGCAGAATAACCTAAGATGCAGAAATAGTCGAAGGTTTAAGGCATCAGACAAGGACACATAGAAAAACATGATAATTTTCCTTCTGTTATCTTCCTAACTTTGAAAAATACTACAAAATCTGTGGCAACAATGTTATTTCATGTGTGTGCATATAAGGACCTCCCTATAAACTAGTATTTTGTAATTTAATGTATATACCACACTTCTCTTTTTGTTTATTTGTTTAGTTTTGCCTTTGCTTAGTTTTAAATTTTCAGAGCATAACTAACTTCTGTGTGATCAGGCTGCAGATAGAAAATGACCTATAGGTATCATTCATTCAACATTTTTGAATGAATGAATAGGACAACAAGCTGCTTTGGTGAAGATCTGCAGCTGACAGAGAAGAATGGTGACTAATGATAGTAAAGAAAGATGTGTACATGCTTATGTATATTTTTCAAAGGGAATATGTATTTTTTTCTTTTTGTAAATAGGAGGTTTGCTAACCAGGAAACCATATCCTTAAAATGACGTAAATTTAAAGCAAGAACGTGCAGATACTAGACAAAAATTTTGGAGAAACAGAGCACCTCAGATTTTAATTTCGTAGAGGAGTGCAAATGGCTGTAGACCTTCACACGCTATACATTTACATATTCAGAGAAACAAAACAAAAAACAAACTAAATCTTGCCTTACCCGGCCAACTAGTATTGGTTCAGGTCCAGAAAATTCTTCTAATACAAACATTTGATTCCAAACCCAGCCTCTCTTGGAACGGTTCAAAACTCTTTGTTCTTCATTTAGCCTTTTTAGTCCTGTACTGGATCCACTTGGTATTACTTGAGACTGATTCATTGGAGCCATATAAATGGAAGGAAGGACAGTAATCCATAATATTATTAATGGAGTCCATGTATCCATAAGCATTTCCATTAGTCTTTCTGGCATTGTACCACAAGCTACGCAAATCACCACAGAAATGAAATTATTATTTTGCTCTCCTCCAGACTGTAGCAATCCAATTCATCATGCAGAACAGAACATTTACTTACAGCTCCTCCATGTGTTTACAGCACAGTCAACGTAAAAATAGCTTAGATTATAAAAACATGACCCATTGAGTTTTTCAGTCATTAAAGAATCCTGGAAGAGAAAAAAAAAAAAAAAACAAAAAAAAAAGAAAAAAGTCAAATCAATGACTACAGAGCTCAGAAAAGCATTACTTTTACATCACAAAAAGCCATATTAGATTTTAAATTTGCAGTACATAATGTCAGTGTATATTAAATTAGTTAAAAAAGTAATCTAAGTGATACTGTGAACTCTTCCATTGCCTGAAATAGTGAGAGGAGACACAGGTGAATGATTACACACACTCAGGAAAACATTTTACTTGCAGTTTGTCTTAAAGTCTGAAGAAGCTCCTCGTCTTCTTGCCTGTATTTTTTATGTAGTCAACTATAAACACTTAGCATGTCAAATAATAAGAGTTAAACACAATAATGGTTTTTCATTCAGACTTATTGTCCTTTCCTCCACAACAGAAGTAAATAAATTAATTGCCATAAGCATATGAGGCTCCAGCAGTACATTCTCATACCAGTAATCACCTTGCTGCAGCAGCACGCAGCTCTGCAAAACCTTCACAGCCCAGCAGAGGAGCAGGACTAAGAAGTCCAGTGTGAAATCTGTGATCCCCAAACCAGACCACTACCAGAAGTTACGTACGCTCATTTATGCTCATCTGCATTACAGGACTCTGAGCACCTCTCCCTCACTTTCAGAGAAAGCTAACTGTCAGATTCTACTTCCAAGACATTTTCCTTGATGGGCACTTGGAAGCATTTTGTCTTTCTTTCCCCACCCACCCTTTCATATATTAGAAAGCCACATCAGGTTTCATCTTAAAGTAAATATTCCTTTAAATTGACAAGCAAGTTAACAGAGTAGGGCTTGCTAATACCATAGTGATTGGCAAACCTGAAATGCAGCCATGGATCACTTAGAAAGATAGATGGTACACAGCTTGGGGAGAAAGGCTGCATTACAGCTACTCTAATGAGGCTGGGGTTATGTAAAAAGATTCCTGATACATTTTCTTTGACTGATTCATATCCAACCTCATGAGAAACCACTGTATACTAGATAGGTAGAAATGTCTGCTCTTAAGCTCCACTGAGTCTTAGGCTGCTATTTTTGCACTGTAAAATGAGTTCTTTGTGGTGCATGTCCATGAAAATCTTGGGTAGGTTAGGGTTTGTTTCTTTTTTGAGGGGGGTGGGTTTTTTTGTAGTTGTTTCATCGACACTCATGGCAGAAAATATTTGAAAACATGAATAACACCAGTAAAAGTCAGCTGTTATTTTAAAAGCAAACAATGTAAAAAGTACTTTTTTTTAAACTTCAGTAATTGCCAAAGCAACTGTGAAATCTGTTGCATGAAATTCTTAAACTGTGAGAAACTTGTCTTGTTAAAAGGAGAGAAGAGCTGTTATCAAACTAAAACTCAATATCTCAAGTAACATGGACGAACGGCAAGCTAATAGTGCGGTGCTTTGACAATGCATCAAGAATGAGGTGAATATCCATTACAGAAGTAACTGTGGCTTATAGGCCTCATTGCCAACGGAGATGGGAAGAATACAGTATGCTCTTGCAATGAAATCTGAGGGAAAATGTGACGGAAGCAAGAGAGGCCTTCAATCTCTTGGTTTTCTCTCCATCACAGGAAAGGGAAAAGGAGAAGGAGCAAATAATCTAGTTTTTGATGGGAAGGGTCTGTCAAGTCAATCTCTGAAAACATCTTTGGTTTAGGCAATTAAACAGAGGTTGCTGCTGTTTTCTGGCATATATTAAAAAGATAGATTTCATGTGGCACGTTTGGTGGTAGAAGGTATCAAAACAAAGTAACAGCCAAACGTTCAGTGAAAGTGGTTAAGTGTGTTTGTATTGGATCCTTGTGCACATGTGAGTGGACTTGTGGGTACATGCGTCTGGCAGGGGATGGATTTTTCTGATTTCTTCATTAAAGCAAGAATTGAAACACAGGAAAAATAGAATCACTGTAAAATAGACTAATAGACATCATCTTCAAACAATATCCAGGATTAAATTCAAAACTGGGGACATAAACTGAAAACCCAACCTGGAAGTCTTTTTCTGCGGCTGACTTCTCAGTTTGTATATACAAAGAGACTTTTGACTCAGAAATAGAAGCCAACCAGAAACAGAATAGTATATTACACCTTTGTGCAAAAAAAAGCCTTAAAAAGAACCCAAATGGGCTATTACTGACTTTCTTACTCTTCCAGTACAATTGATATACTACTTTTTACTCTCAGAACCAAATAATAATAAAGCACTTCTTTTCATAATCAAGAAGCTTTCTGAAGACAATTCTTAATTTATCTACACAAGCTGCCATCTGAAAGAGATTAAATAAATGAGATATAACAATACGATGCTCACAGAAACAATTTTTATTTGAAGAAAGAACAGGATATTTGTTTTTTAGACTGCCACTCTGAATACTTGGCAAGCATTAAGTTCATTTCAGGGCATCCCTCCTCAGTTCCACCTCCAGACTTCCCGCCTGTTACTCTTCATTTACTCCAATCAAATTTAGGTCCTATCCAATAGCACTAATGCATAATATTCACTGTGACTGGACCATCCTCACAGTAGCTCCCTATTTAAAAACACCTTAAGGCAAACAACAGTCAAAAGCCCACCGAAAATATTAGTAATGCACATACCATGTCATTAAACCTAAATCAATGAAATAGCCCCGTGAAGAGTAAAGTTAGACAAGCTCAATGAACACAAAAATCTGAGATTCTTAAGTACCAAGAGGAAATTAGGCAGGTGTTAGGCAGTGCAGGGTAAAATAAAAATCTGACGGAGCTTTTGCATGTAATGGTGTACTGCAGGGGAATATGATCAGGTTGTAACAATAGAGCTGGATAATTTTATCTACATTTCGATCTAGACTGCTGGAGTCTTTTGAGATTTATTTGAGAAAGACTCATTTGGGATTCACTGCTCTACAAGTGAATCGTGGCATTTACTCTGTGTAATACACGGAGATTGTACTGTCCCCAAATTTCTTTACCGAATTTGGAAATTAATTTTCTTCTCCATTTGTGGGAGCAGAACACCATCCATGTGCTGATGGAAGGCATTATTAAATACTTGGCCCTGCAATTTTCCTGTTGGCTACTATGAAAATCAAGAAATGCCTGGTAGTTAAATAACAATCTTCTGAATTAGCTGTGTAGGAGAAACTGATATGGCTACTGAATCAAGCTACTGTAACAATATTAAAAAGCCGTAAGTAAAGGGAGATCTGGCAATCAAGCACAACTAGCAAGTGAGGCACAGTAACATTTTCCCTTCTTATATTATGTCAGGATCTAAGAAATGGTGAGAATGGAATGACAGCAAAACTACACCAGTGAAGACAGAACTACCTTTTACTAAGCAACCAAAGAGGACAAGTGCACAGCCCTTAGAAAGTGTATTTCCACCCTGATAAAGATTTTGTTGGTGTTTATCATTTTTTGCTTTATATTTCTATGTATTCAAATGACTCTGGGCTGTTATCTTTACAAAACTTCCTTGTTCTTCTAAGTGGCTTCCCTGGATAGTGTATGAGATGTGCAACTATAAATATAACTCTAATGCAGTAGAACTGCTTACAAAACAGCTTTAGTTCTTCATTCATCCCTGAAAGAGGAAAGTGATATTTAAAATACAAAGAATTTCTTTAATGTAGTAAATAGATGAAAGAAAATGTGACACTATGTCAAGCAGCAGAGATTCAAATAACTGTCTTGTATTTGTAAATTTGGTTCTCCATACACAACCATACAGAAATACAGATAAAGCTGAGTGGTTTGTTTTCCACTTGGTGTATGTGCTGATGTAGTTTTAGAAAAATATTATTCTATTAACAGGAACAGGCATCTTGGATCACTACTTGTACAACTCTAGGGCATAGAGTGCGTAAGTTTTATACAACATAGAAAGTGATTACAATGAAGTAGAAGTTTATAACCTAACACTAGTCCATAACTAGCATACCAACATCAGAAATTAATGTAAGATGCATTGCAGCCTCTTTTGGAACTAAAATCTATCGGCTTACTTGTATGAGTTAATTGTCTGCATAAAGTTAGAGCCAGGTATGGCAGTAGGTAGTTATAGTAGGTAAGTACGACAGATCTCATTTTGAGTATGTGGTAGAAAGCTTTATGATGTCTAGCATCTCTCATGCAACTAATTTCATTATAATTATTCTAGAATCATCTTCTAGCTTTAAAATGTCAACACTGGAATAGAGCAGATTTATTAAAAAGACTGATAAAGCTAATAAAGCCAGTTTAATATGTAAATGTCTCATAGAAAAAGAAGCAAAATAAGATCATAAAAAGCTTTTAAAAAATCAATTTATTTTTAGATTTCAAACCACAGTATCTGGTCAAATAAACCACTTCATTATAATGCTAGTGCATTAATTTACACTATGATCTTAGTTTAAAAGATTTTAGAGCCACTCTAGTGTTTCTTCCCACAAGTGGCATGGAGGTTTGTCTTAAGAATTAGAACAAAATTTTTCCTTTACTTCATTCTGTATTGCCTTATCATTCTCAGTGATGCTATGCAACAGCTAAGCCCTTTGACCTCATTATTTCACAAGGGAGGATTTTGTTGTTCCTAAACAACTGCTATTGTGGTAAAAAAAAACCCTTAACGTATTGGTTTATTTAAATAAGTTACATTAAAGATGCCAGTAAAAAGTTGGTGATCTTTGCCTAAAGCATGGGGTTTTTGGTAGAACTCTCAGGGTCTATTTTGTCCATTAAATGACTCCTTTAGCACACATTCAGAAGACTGATATCAAAGTGCCCCGTTATGAGGAGGTAAACAACACATAAAACTGTTTTAGATATCTTATGCATAATTTCTACCTTTGATGCTAATTCAAGATATGCAAATCTGCATTGCAATACAAGCACCTTCAAATAATTGATGAGAGGCGTTCATTAACTCATCACCTAGAGAGTTCCAACTAGAGCTGTGCGACAGCAGGCAGACAGCCTGCGCATTTTGCATGTTTCCTCTGGAGCCCCAAAATTCCACCT